CGTTTTTAATTTTGCAAAATTGCGTTGTTCAGATATCATATATTCCTCATACATCGATAGAACAATATTGAATTCAATTTTCATTCCAAACCCAACTTTTAATCTTGATAACTTGTAAGCTGTAGTGCCCAAAAAAAATTTATATGAAAATTGAAGCAATAAACTTTCAATTTTTACTATTCTAAATTTTACTCTACTTAGACAACTTTTCTTCTATAAATGGCCTGGTTCAAAAATATATTGTCTCATGATAAATGAATCCATTGAAAGACAGTAAGAACTGATGACTTAAAATACTTGAAACACGTATAAATCATCACACGTATTAACCGTCGAGATAGAAATAACACTCTAATGTGACATTTGAGAGACTGAAGAACAGAATGAACAAAGATTATTAAATTTTCAGAATTAGCGACGAGTCATACGTTTAAAATAAGCGATCTCTGCAAGCATTACTTGATCTATTAATTGAGATTGTCATTAATTGATAGAATATCAATTTCAGAAACAATGGAAAATGTCTATTGAGTATGTGGTTAAGATGACTGGGAGTTATAAATAAAAAAATAATATTTTGGAATTTCTGCTATTTAACATCTTAATTAAAATTATTCTTCTATTTCGATCCGTTGTACCGTCTCAAATATCTTCTAATTGAATTTGATTAAAAACTTCAGCAGTACTTTGAATGACATTTGTTGGCTCTATTTATATAAACTTCTGTTTGACTTAAATTTTTCCGGACAATTTTCGTCTTTGTAGCTTGTTTCCTCGTTTGGTTTTCAAATCCGTACAAACATTTGTTTTGTGTCATCTGTACACTTTGAATACAATGCTAAATTTTTAACCGAGGTTTGGCGAAAATTCACAACTTTCTGTTTATTTGGGACACTTTTCACTACAAAGGATGAAACTGTTGACACTTATTTCCAGGAAGATATAAAAATAGAGATTTATTCTGCTAAGTAAACTGCATTTACAGTAATCAGTATTCTATTTTAATTTAAATTTTCCGTAAAGAAGACATCAGTGTTTTTGGCCAAACGATCAATTTATATAATAAATATTATATGACATACGTCAAATAAAGGAATATAAATATAGACTCGAGGATATTTACTTGATTTATTCAATTTTCTTATCGTTATCGCGAGCAATATATAAAGAATTCAAGGAATTTTCATCCCTCTGATGCGATGAGTAGATTAAGAATGATTATCGTGAACCCTACCGATATATTCGACCCCTGGAGGATTCGTATGTAAATTAATGTGCCAGTTTAAAAGTTTATATTTAATTTAGCCTCTCCCGGTCCCGGTACACATTTAAAAATTTATCCACTTCAATCTCACTGTGGACAGAGATAAAGTTAAAATAGAATAGGGTGTAGTAGTCTAAAAGTCTACACTGAAATGTTTTGTTCCCTCTCGCTCATTTCCAGCTCCCTCGGTGTGCCTTATTCGCAGCAGACATTTTACCAAAATGGAATTTCACTAATTTTCCGTGCAGTTGAATCGTCCTTGCCTATTAGACTTGTCCGTCCACATCGTCGAGTTAAATTGTTCTACGTAGGAAAATGAGCGCATCTAAAGTATATACATACATTAGTGCCTACATCTGCCGTGTGTATATGTGTATATAATAGATAATAGCATAGTATAGTTGAGTAGTTTTGCCAGGAAATATTGGCTACGACCCCACTGCGCTACTTTATATTCACTATTAACTATTTACAATTCACTTCCTCTATTCCTGTTTTTACCCAGACGCTTGTAACATCATCTTTATTATGAATGTCGTCTTTACTTGTAAACTTAATATTATAGTACTTTTGTTTTTCTCGTTGCTTTTGCTAATTGTATCTTATATTTCTCACTATCCTGGGTAGTTTACATATTTAAAAATATACATATCTAGACGTGTTTTATGTAAAATACCGCGAATTTATCTTGTAGTTATATTAAATTCAACATGAAAAAAAATAAATTCTTAAAAGTACGGTGTAAAATTTTAATGAAGTTCACAAAAAGTATTTTTTGCAATGTTAGCGACGAGTAAGTTGAAAGAAAATTATGAAAATTTTATTTATAGTCAAAGAAAATTCAAAATTTTTAGCACTTTTTAATGTTTCATTATACTTTATTACTTTAAAAATAAAATGTGATCTCAACTTTTCTCCATAAAAATTCAACTAACCCATTTTCCAGAGCATCAAATATTAAAATTAAATCGTACAAATATTTTTTCAAGAAATTTAAATCTCTTCAATCTCATATATCTCAGCTATTAAAATCTCAAAGGCTTTCAACTTCGGTATCTTCATGAATGTGAACTCTTAGTAGAGATAGAAGTAGGGGCTGGGATAAGTGTTTCAATAATGACGAAAAATCCTAAAAAGTTGTTATTTCCGAGTTTTAAAATATATCAACAAACTTTAATTAAATATCAAGAGAAGAAAAGCCGAGAATTAATATAAATCTTTAATAAAAAAGTTAATACCTCAATCACATTATTCGGGATTTTTTTTATGATACCTAAAAGACGAGATCATGAGTTGAAGTTAATAAAGTCAGACTATGTTGTAAAAGAGAAAAAAAAAATAATAATAACAATGATAATGGTCGTAGGTTTCATCAGCTTGAGAAAAAGTGGGATCTCACAAAGCCTTAAAAGCATCTCTACGAATTACCATTCTGTAAGCTTTTGTCCATTATATATATTTATACAGACATTTCTTTTATTTTTATTTTTATTTTTCTCTGCTTCTATCAACGTTTATTTGACACTAAAAAAGCTTAGACGTGAAGATAATGCTTGCTGTATTTATTATTTACATTTTTTTATGTACATATGTTTTTTCTAGCTTAGTCAAAATAAAAAATATTAGGTTTCGTGTCACCATAATGCAGTCTGTTATTATTATTATTATTTTTTTTTTCAATTCAAAAAAATTTTTATCAGCAACCAGCAAGTCATCAAACTTTTACACTTTGTTGAATCTTTATTTATTTTTTGGACCACGTAAACTTTCATCACTACGTACCACCTCCCTACCTACATCGCGTACTGGGCTAGAAAAATCATAAATTCAAAAAAAAAAGTAAAACAAAGCTCCAACTGAACCAGCGTAATCACAGCACACGTATACACACATCGGCCGTATTTTAAAAGCGAAGAACAAAAAAGGTAAAAGATAAATTTAAACGGTCAGTTATACGTTGCAACGTCACCGCTACCGTCGTCCTTCGTCGGTTGTAAATACATATTTTAATGAGAAATGCGACTGTGTACAAACGATGTACATTAGAATTTACATCGCTTCACGGTAAGCTGTTATTTTTGCTCTATTGTTTTAAAGTTTTTTTTATTATAATAACACAAAAAAACATTATTATCTTTGACGTTTTTTGTGACAAGAATTTTAATAATTCCGAGAAACAAACTAAACAGGTGTCTGGTAATAAAAATAAAAAACGTTCATCCACGACTTAGTTTTTGAATTTAATTAACAAAAATTAGTTTCAAGTTGTAAAATTTTTTCATTTTAAAAACATCATATCAAAAGTTCTTTAAAATTTTTAATTTATTGGAGTAAATCAAACGATAAATTGAGATCCGATGTACTGCTTAGGGATACCTGCACTCGTACTTGGTGTCACAAGCGATTAACTTTAATTGACCCGTGAACTGGTAGTCGAGTAAGTTTCTCGCGAGAACTTAATGCGGTTTCACTGCCACGCTGATTCTTTTACTCCCTATCCCACAGTAACAGGCACTTTCATTTTGTTGAGCTTTGCGTTCTTAAGGCATTCCCGTCATTCAACGACTATTTACTGCTAGCATCATTGCAACCCTCTACTTGATTTCTTGAGGCCTTGTGTCGGGTCTCCAGGGCATTGTTCTGTCAATGAACTAAGACTTATCCACCCAGAGATTTGCTCAAGAAATTACTGCTATTACGACTACTGAGAATGTAAAATTTTTCTGTTTTTTTTTTTAACTTTCCGTTAACAAAATCAACAATTTCTCCATGTATCTTCACGTGTTAAGGTCCTAGGAAACCGTTTCGACTATTCCTTTCCTCTTTGACCTTCGACCTCAATAGTTATTTTATGGAACGTTAATTTTTTATATAAGGTAAAAAACCCCATTAGTGGCACCTTTAACCCCTATTATTGGCACTTTTTTTTTCAATGAAAAAATGTTCTACTTGGAATAAAAATTCAAAATTTTTTTGATCTAAAGGTCTTAAAGTTTAGAAATAATATATTCATTATTAAAATTAATGATTTCATTAATTGAATAAGTACCAAAATCAAAGAAAGTGTCAGTAATGGGGTCTTTTACCCTACCAATACATAATCATCCGTACAAAAATTTTCAAAAAACAAACTAATTATCGAAATTTATCACCTCTAGATCACAAAGAACGCTATCGATATCGAAATAACTAGCACTAATTGCTAATTAATCAGTCATTAATTTTTATAAAATTTATATACTCCACATTTTATTTTAATCGATGTTTTTTATTACTACACAATTGTATTATAGAACATTAATTCTTCATATACCAATACATATTAGACATCTATACAAAAATTTTCGAAAAACAAACCAATTTTCGAAATTTATCACCTCTAGATCACAAAGAACGCTATCGATATCGAAATAACTAGCACTAATTGCTAATTAATCGGTTATTAATTTTTATAAAATTTATATACTCCGCATTTTATTTTAATCGATGTTTTTTATTACTACACAGTTATATTATAGAACAATAATTTCTTATATACCAATACATAGACATCCGTACAAAAATTTTCGAAAAACAAACCAATTTCCGAAATTGATTACCTCTAGATCACAGGTAACGCTATCAATATCGAAATAATCCAATAGAATTCAATTTTTTATAGTTTTGACCTTCGATCTTCGATTCTTCAAGGAATTAAACCAGGTAACAGCGTTGGGGGATATCGCTTTGATATAAAATGAGCTGTTGCGACTTGGTAAGAATCATTATAAATCATGCTTTATAACAATATTCCTATCTTTGGTTTAGTGGAATTGATAATTCTTGATATTCTTCAAGTAACTGTTCGAGAATAATGTTCAAATTCATTTGCTTGATATTTCTACCAATGGTACTGAGTCTACCTCAAAATATTGATAATAATAATAATAATAACAATAATGATAACACCAATAATAATCTAATACAAAACAAACAAGCCACCCTTACTAGTTACCAGTTTGGTAAGTTGGAATTTCGTGATATGGCTGGCACAAATGTCTTCAATGCCTCAAATATATACAAGCTAGAAGATTACCAATACTTTCAAGGAATCGGCACCTATAAACTTCATACTCGCGGAGCAACCTTCTTTAGGGCCAGACAGATTTGTAAAGAAGAAGGTGGACATCTCGCTATTATTAATTCTCTGGCAGAAGAAAAAGTAAATATTTTTTTAAAGTTTATAATTAAAAATCTGAACTTATAGAAATTAACTTTACTTCTGATTGATAGGTACTTCTGGATTTATTTAAACGCCCAGAAAAATTTGTAAATGTGATGAGTAATGAAAGAGCTTTACTCGGTATTCATGATATATTCGCTGAAGGCGAGTGGGAGACAATTTTTGGTCAGTCTCTTTATAGAACTGGCTTTTCAAAATGGAGCAATAACTGGAATGGACAACCAGATGATTCGAAACATATACTCAATTGTGGCTTTTTATTGAAATCGGGAGGACTGGATGATGACTTGTGTGATGCTCAGCATCCTTTTTTCTGCGAAATACCAGAGTATTGCGTAGCTTATTTATAATAATGAATTCAACATACAAAAGCGGAATAAAAAATATTAATTCACTGAAATGCTTATAAAATTATGAAACTTTAAATAACTACAAGTGTAATTTTTGAAAATAAATTATCATTTGGTAAAAATAAATAAAAAAAAAACCATTGTCTTTACTTTGAGCGATAAAAATATCAAGAGTTGTTTGTAAAAGCAGATTAAACCAGTAAATATGTGATGAATCTCATGATTCATGATAAAGTATTCAAAACTTTAAACCGATAGTTGTCTAACTTGTGATGCTTTTAGTACCTAAAAGTTATAGATCTAAATTAAATTTTCAGTGAAGGTATAATTGAACAAGCTATCAAGTTATTCGCCCTACTTACGGCGAGCTATTTGACTGTTTATTACATCATTTATCATTAATATCACTGTCAGAGTACATAAAAATTATACGAACTTCACGTTTAATTAGTGACTATATCTAAACTTTACTTTGCGCAAATAAAATTAATAAATAGCCTCTGTTTGTCTAGTTAACAACTTTGGTAATACTTTATCTGTATTCATTAACGATTGCTACTTATTTCAATAACTCACCAAACATTACACCGTAAAAAAAATATGGTAATTAGTACTAAATCAACATTTGCTGTAATTTTATCATTTAGAACATTAAGCTTCTCTATCTCTATTAATAATTATTATCACTGTCGAATAATAATAATTTTCTCTCCGTGTATTATGTCGGTATTTTAAATCGGGAATTTATTTAAAAATTTTTTAGACTTGTACTTACTTTGTGGGCTGCTGATACAGAGATAAAAATGAGTAATACAAGTAGACGCAATGGCAGCCATAATTTCAGCGGCATCTGTAACATAAAAAATTTATTTTCATTAATTTACATTTTTAAAAATTTATTAATAAATAAAGAGATAATTTGATGCAATAATAATTGGATATTTTCAGTTGATAATATTTGACGATTTTTTGTTGAATGACAAAATAATAAATTTTCATTATAAACCATTTGTTTTAAATTTTTATTCAAGTAAATAAAACATAATCATAATTTTATTGATTAAATAAAAACAAAGTGAGAAGTAAAAAAAGGACTTTTTAATTAAAATTTGAAAATAAAAATTATTTTGATCAAAAATAGATCAAACTAAATTTCGTCATTTTGTTCAATCAAAATACATTTAAAAAAAAAGACTTATCACATAAATAAATAAAACTAAAGAGTAAGTTAATAAAACTTAAATTTACAATTTATAGTCTGCTTGAAGTACAAAGTAACACCAGTCCAGTAAATGCAGACTCGTGACAAACAACGGAACCATTATTCACACAGATAAGATCAATTGTAATTTGAGGGCTCGTTAACGACTCAGCCAGTCTAATCTCTCTGGTCTCTCAGGTCTATAAGGGTACTATAGTTACTAATACTCTTATTACGTTGGTTCTGAGATTCTGACCAAAGACAGAGGATAGAGCATAGATATAGATATACGGATAAATACCAAGATTATATAATATATATAGTATAATAGGTGTTCAGAATAGAGGAGGACTGTTATGTTGGGGGACAACAAGAAGGCTAATAGTGAACCGTAGTCAGACGGAGATAGAGATGAAGATGAAGCCACCACACCCTCAAGTCTCTTATCGCAAACCATAAGTTGCAAGCTGGCTTACTGTATACTAGACCAGTTTGCGCGTAAGCTCCAGACGAAAGACACGCTAGTCTAGATATATATATACGTGTTTACTGGTCATGTATATGTATATCTGTATATCTGCTCGTGCTGTGTTGCTATCATTATTATTATTATTATATAACAACCGCCGTTGACTTGTGATCATCCTTTATGGGGTTATGAAGATGTTCTGGGTACCAAGGGACAGATATATGAATAAAATAAAGTTTCTTTTTACTGCTTTACAGTGCTAAATAATTTATAGTAATTTTATAGTGATAGATAATACTATACTCATATTTTTTGTTGCTGTAAAATTACATTTTTATAAAGAGAAAAAAAATTTTCTCCAAATTATTATTATTATTATTATTATTATTATTATTATTATTATTATTATTAAAAATTCTTTTTTTTATGGACAAAAAAACTTTTAAACAAATTATTAATGTTATTATCATTTTCACCCGCGTTAACTTATAAAAAAAATCATTTTAATACTTTAGGTATAAAATACATAAAGCCTAGTCGTTTTCATCCTTATCCCGAAAGTCATACTCATACTCGCACCCTTCTTCCTCTTGTCATTCCTCTTCTCGCTTTTCTTGCCCCCTCACGTCTTTGTCTTCCATGTCGTCGTCGTCCTGTCGTTGTATAAGTTGGCTGGCTCGCTAAGATTACGCGATACTAGAACAATTTATCGTTTCTTACCACGTATACTCTAAAACCATACAAGCTTCAGCGTTCCTTTGCTTTTCCTCCACACTAGTTCACTTCTTTACTCTTACTCTGTCTCGTGCAGTGGAAACCGCAGCCCCGGTATAGGCATTATGTGTACAAGAGTACCCATCCAACCCAGTTTCTCAAGGAGTATTTTACATTCCTTCCTACAGACATTATTTCAAGTACACTAGCTGGTGCTGAGGCACAGGCTCTAGATTCTGTATCGTTTATCGTTTGTACAACACACGCATGCATAACTGTAAATTATCTTTCCCCTTCCTCGTACCCATACCTGTTTCATATAATCCACACACGCTACACAACATCATGCATACTGTAATTAAATTTGTCCTCTTGGGCGGGTGCATCTCACGTTTCATCCCGCGTTTCACGCAACCACACGGGGAAATTGAATTTCAATTATCACGTCCCGGGGGAAAATGCTTCCGTTACAAAATCATACAACACAGTTATCGTTACTAGTAACTAGTTACACGATTACATTGGTTGGAACCGAAATAATGTCGATGATACTTTTATACTCTCACTTCATTTGATAAATAATTACTAATTGCTAATTGCTGCACTCATTATTTATTATTACTTCCATCTGAAAATTTTTTATTATTTATTTGGTTATTTTTGGAAATCTTATGACACTAAAATTTAAAGACAACTGACAATTTTTGGTTTTTTTTTCAAGAAAGGATTTAATATTACTATTGTTACAAAATGAAAAATTAAAAATTTTTAGATGTAAAAATTAAAAATATTTGAGTGCAATTTTTTTTTAAATATTTTCTTGCTACTAATTTATTTTTTAAACAAAATTAAAAAGTGATCAACTGTTGGTTGATTTCAGTACTACGAAATTTTTAGTATTATCACGCGATAAACAGAAAGAAAATTTTTATCACTTTTATAGATAATGATAGAGACAAATGTAGCAAATAAGTTCGTGATAATTGAAGTAAAATTTCATCAACTTTTCAATTTAAAAAACAAAAGTATGAGAAAAAATGTAAGAAAAATAAAAAAATGTTGAATAAAGCATTGAATTGCAAAATAAACAGAAACGTTTTCATTGTAGTCAGCTCTGTTTTCTCAAACCTGGGAGTGAGAGAATCGAGTAAGTGATTCTTAGCTGCTCGGGAAGTATAAAATTATATTATAGTTCCATAGATATAGACATCTAGACATAAATATGAGGTTGAAACGCGCATGTAGTCTTGTTGAAAAGTTATCGCCCTTTGGATATCATCGTCCAAGTTTTACGAGTTTTATTTTCAGATGTATGACCGACTTATCACATGACAATTCGACATTTGATTTTAACGGTACGGATAAAACGAGAAACGTCTAGTGTAAGATAAATTGGTTAGCACTTTAAGTGCAGTAAATATATTTTTATCGGTGTAATAACAAATTTTGAGTTAGAGCTACTCTGTTTGATTGAATTTTTGAATTATTGACTTGTCTGATGTTGAATTAAATTTCAATTCTTTTACTTTATGGATGGAGTTAAATCCAACTGGATTGAGATAAGGCTATGTTCTGTTATAATTTATAATATATTTCGGGGATGTTTTTATACAGCCATAACTAGAGATTAGGAAAGTGATTTAAAGAGCTAATTAGGAGTAGACAATGAGGGGATTTGAGGAAACTGTAGTGGTATTTTGGTGCATCGGTTTTAGCGGGTAGTATGTGGTTTGCCGCATCTTCAGGTCATTTGTAGATTGCGAGAAATCCTAGGTATTTACCACCGAGTTATTCCCACAAGAAGACCGTGTTTTATCCTTTGTAACTGTTAGTAACTAAGCAGTAACAACTAATTATTAAGATACTAAATTATCTTTACTTACAAACTCTCCTGTAATTCTTGTTTCACATTATAGACTCTCTAATCAAGCTTAAAACTTTTTATTATAACGATTAATTATTCGCACGGAGTTTAAGGTTGCAGCAAAAATCTTGTTGTTGACAATTATAGCTATAATTAAAGTTTGTTTCTGGTGTAAAAATAATTATTTTATTGAAAACTTGATAAGTTTTTAAAATTAATAATTCTGGAATAAAATTAAAATTAAAATGTTGAAAAATTATTAAAATCTTATGAAAAAGGTAGTTATTGAAAAACGTAAAAAATGTAAAACAATAATGATGTTTACTTAGTATTCATTTATAAAGATGTAGCCGTTTGAAACCAGAGATGGAGAAAAGTGAGTTCTGGTGTAATTTTAATTGTTAATTAACTCGAAATTCAGTGACCGGAATCGCAAACAGAGAATAAGTGATACCGAATTACATTATCTGTATATATATGATGGAACATGAAAACAATGGTTTTATAAACACGAATGATATTAATAAATAGAATGTGCTTGCCAATTAGAGCAACTGAAACTGACAGACGTTGGTGATTGTTTGACTTTTGGAGTAACTTTCCGGAAGCTTCACCCGTCGATTTCCAAGTATGACTGCTATCCCGCAGGTGATGGAATTTACAGTAATAGAAATTGACCTCAATAAACTAAACTATTTTACAACTAGAAGTACAAAGTTTATACGTGGATTCCATAGTAAGTTTTAGTAATT